GAGAGCAGCCCTGAGGAGAAGGGCTTGGAAGTGCTGGTGATGCTGGCAATGAGCTCAGAAATCCAACTGTATCCTGGGCTGCATCGAAAGCAGCATGACCAGCAGGTCGAGGGAGGTGATTCTCCCCTTCTACTCCGTTCTTGTGAGACCTCACCTGGCGTACAGCTCTGGGGACCCCAACACAAGAAGGACATGGACCTGTTGGAGCGCGTCCAGAGGAGGCCACAAAGATGCTCAGAGGGCTGGAGCACCTCTCCTGTGAAGACAAGGTGAGAGAGTTGGGGTTGTTCAGCCTGGAGAAGAGAAGGCCCTGGGGATACCTTAGAGCAGCCTTCCAATACCTAGAGGGGGCTTACAATAAATCTGTGGAGGGACTTTTTACAAGGGGACAATGACTTTAAACTGGAAGAAGGAAGATTTAGATTAGATATTAGGAAGAAATTCTTCATGGTGAGGGTGGTGAGGCAGTGGAACAGGTTGCCCAGTTGTGGGTGCCCCATCCCTGGAAGTGTTCAAGGCCAGGTTGGATGGGGCTTTGAGCAACCTGGTCTGGTGGGAGGTGTCCTTGCCCATGGCAGGGGTGTTGGAACAACATGATCTTTAAGGTCCCTTCCAACCAAACCATTCTATGGGTCTATGATAATGGGGAGAAAAAAAAGTAGACTTTTAATACCAAGGAAGAGGGGTTTAGATTGGCTTCCTTTTAATGAGTGCTAAGGTGAAGATATAGCAGGCAACTAATTACACTGTGATACGTGTTAATTTTGCAGATAATTCCTAATAACAACATGAGAACTTTTTGTCAAAAAACAATTACACAGTAATTCAATCTCTTAATAGTTCTGTGTTGGGTGCTTGGTCAGACTGTGGTGCAAATACTATTCCCTATTGCAACTAATGTATCTTTATTAGGGTTTTTTTCTGATTTAGTATATTTAATTGGGTTATCGATAATTACATCATAAAGAGACAAAGGAGAAGCAAAATATGCTGTTTTTAAAAAGTCAATTGCAAAATACACATAATTTATTTTTAAATTAAAAAAACATAAGTACTTTTGATGATCCCTGTGACCGAGGTTTTTACTCTCTTTATTTTGCAGAGATATGATAGCTACTGGTTGTGAGGATAAAAATGTTCGTGTTTACTACTTGGCAACAAGCTCTGATCAGCCACTGAAAGTTTTTACAGGTCATACTGCAAAGGTGTTTCATGTACGATGGTCTCCTCTGAGAGAAGGAATCCTCTGCAGTGGCTCTGATGATGGGTGTGTATTTCTGAACTATTAGAAAAGTTAAAACCTCAAGCAGTACTATTAGCGAAACTTAAGATCTTTAGTTGTGCTGGCACCTTCGGAAACTCAATGAATAATATATTAATCTAAATCTCTGCCTTGTTCAGATTCAGGCTGTAGCTTTGCTGTTAGCTTAATATAGTATTTGGGCAGCAGGATCATCATCTGAAATTGTCACAACTGCTGTAGCAACGCAACTTTCCAAATGCTTTCCCAAGAGTAGAGTCAGTGACTGATACCTGTTACTCCCAGGAATGATACGAGGAGGTTACCACGTGCTTACATTATGTCTAAGGATATGGGTGCAAGACCTGCTCTTAATTGATGTCTTTCAAAAGTACAATGAAGTAGAATCTGTGGAGATTTTTTAACAAGTGCTAAGTACTTCTGTTGGTTTTGATGATGTTTTTTGAGGGAGAGCACATCAGTCTATGGTAAGCAGGAAAAATTATTTTTCTGTTTTTCTAAGCCACATCCCTGCAGAGTATACAAAATATTTTTGTAAAGAATCACAAGTTTGGAGTATTGGCTTCTATTGCTTTCCCCAGTATAATTCATTAGATGTCTATGCTTGCAGCAAAATCTGTTAGTTCATAGTGGAATGATTTATGAAAGAAACCAACTTGACAAGAAGCTTCTTATGTGTAAATCCTGTCTATTTCACATGAGCAAGAACTAGTGAATCCAAAACTCTGTCATAGTGTCATTATGAGATATTTTATTACCAATCATGGCTATATAATAAGACTTGATTACAGAGGGATTTCCAGAATACAGTCTCACTTTCGCTTTGAGGGAAGGGGATTGTTGAATAACTTAATCCCAGGTAACACAGAAAGTAAGCGGCCTTTTGAGTTTATTATACTAACAACTCCCATTCATAGTCAAACTCAGAACTATTTCAGATGACCTGTTTAGCACCTAGGGTTATACAGTACATAGGAGCAGTATGCAAGAGTCACGCATGAGCACATATTGCTGTAGGACAAGATATATGTAAATATATAAAATGGCCTTCTAACTTGTGGATTCTACTTTGTGACTCAAGCTGCATCAAATGGCCCCTTTACAGCACTGGAGAAGCAGTATGTCACTGTTTGGGGCTGGGCCAGTGCTTAAAGCAGGTGGCGGATGCTCTCTGTTAACCCCGGCCTTTCCCAGAAGGGGAAGGAGAGGAGAAAAGGGAGAGAGACTTAGGGGTTGGAAGCTTAAAACAAATTTTAATAAAACAATAACAGTGGAAAGAGTATAAATAATATTAAAACTAATACTACTGATAATAGAAATAGACAATTTCTCTCACTGACATGTAAGATAATGGTGCGTATGAGATTTTGAAAGACTATGTGGTGGATGGAATAGTTTCTTACTCTGGTGAACCATCAGCCCCAATCTCTCCTGTTACAACTTCTATAAACATATTGCAAATAAATATTCTGATAAAGTTGAAGCTTAGCATATTGCTGAAGTAGAGAGATAATCATATTTCAGTAGGTGATTTGATGGACATAGGTGTGTTTTATCCTGTTTCAGTACTGTTCGAATATGGGATTATACAAAGGATGCTTGTATAAATGTTCTTAGTGGACATACAGCTCCAGTACGGGGACTGATGTGGAATCCTGAAATTCCTTACCTTCTCATATCTGGCAGTTGGGACTATTCAATTCGAGTCTGGGACACACGAGATGGAACATGTTTGGACACAGTTTACGATCATGGTGCAGATGTATATGGTAATATTTTAAATTTTTTTTATTTCTGTATTGAAATACATTTTAAAATATTTTTAAATTTATAAAATAGTTTAATCAAACTGGTTATTAGATAATTATTTTTCTACATTTTTAAATGTCCTCTGTACTAGGATTAACATGTCATCCTAGTCGTCCATTTACTATGGCATCTTGCTCTCGTGACTCCACTGTGAGACTCTGGTCATTGACACCTCTTATAAACCCTCTGCAAATAAGTATCTTAGCAGATAGATGTTGGGATGAAATTATCGGTAATATAGGTAAGTAAATTGTATATACTGTTGTTTTCATTTTCTGTATGTTATTATACTTTTTTGTTGTTTTTAATTTTCATGTCTAAATCTTTGTGTGTGTTAGATCGTGCTGTGGAATCTGGTGCTCCTCCTTTGCTCTGTGGTAAAGTTTCCAGGGATATTAAACAAGAAGTTGAAAAATTGACAGGAAATCCTCGAGGAAAAAAACTAAGGTGGTTTTCAGAATGTTTTTCCGTAAGTATTCTGCAAACTTAAGGATGTTGTCAGTGTGCATGACCTTCTCTTCTGAAGTCCGTTTCCAAAACTGAAATTTCTTTCTTTTCTACCATTTTTTTCTCTTACTTAGAGAGCTCAGAAAATATGCAGAAATCAGTTCTGTCTCTTAACAGTTCTGCATGTAAAAATGTCCATGACAGAACTGTTTTGCCAGTTGTGAACACCAACTTTTCACAAAGTGAAATAGGTGGGATAACTTAAATTTCCATAGGAAAGCTTTGATTTGACAAGAATTTTCTATTGAAGAAAATGAAAATACGTGTTTTATCAAACTCCATTGGAGTTTTTCATTTTAATCCATCAAAGGCAGCACCCTCATTACAGATAAGGTTTTAAGTGCCCAAATGTCTGTGCCAAAACTGCTGTAAATACATCCTAGGAGCTGTGGATCTGGATGACTGTCACTGTTTAAGGCTGGGCCAGCGCTTAAAGCAGATGGCAGATGTTCTCTGTTAACCCCTGCCTTTTGCAGAAGGGGAAGGAGAGGAGAAAAGGGAGAGAGACTTAGGGGTTGGAAACTTAAAACAAAATTTAATAAAACAGTAACGGCAAAAAGAGTATAAATAATATTAAAACTAACACTACCGATAATAGAAATATACAAACCCGATATTGCCCTTCCCGACGATGACCGCAGGACCACATGCCGCGCCGCGGCAGCTCGCAGTGCTCACGCGGCAGGGCAGGCACCCGGACATCCCAGAACTGGACTGCACAGCGGGCAGGAACCAGATTGAGGGGTGCATGGATCAGGATCGGAGGGAGTGGAGAGAGCAGAGTCCCACCAGGATGCCGACCATGAAGGAAAGAGGGTTGAACCCCATGATCCCTTAGTTTTATACTGAATATCCACCTGAATGGCATAAAATACTTAATTGATCGATCCTTGGTCACCTGTCCCTTCCGCAGCTTCCTATGGGTGCCTCCTCCTCCTTCCCGCCAGGAGGAGCCCAGCGGAGCCCAAGAGAGCCCGCGGGGAACAAGCACCCACCCGTGGGCCTTTCTGCAGAACAATCCCGCTCCTGCCCCAGCAACAGCTACAGACATAACCGCCATCAGCTCTGACAGCAGGCACTGCCTGAGACCTGGAGTCGGCCTCAGACAGGGCAGTTACTAAAGAACTTAAGGGGAAAAAAAAAAATCTACTGAAAGCAGAAATAGTCCTGTTTTAGCCAAACCAGAACAGTGACCCATGCCCCAGTATCCATCTGTTGGCTTTGCTCCATTATACAGTAATATTTCCTATAAATCATTGCAGGCTCTGTGCAATTGAGTTAAAAATACAAACTATGAAGTCCCTGTGGGTGCTTATCCATAGGAGCTGAACTTGAGGTAGAAGGACAAAAATGACCACACAGGTGTCAAGCACTGTTGTAATTTAAGTCAATACACTGATCTATGAAGACCTGGTTTGTCTAAAATATGTTTTGATTTCTAACTAAATTGAAGTGTATGATTTAAAATGCTGAAACAATCTTCCTCGATTACAAATCTTGACATTTCTTGTTTTAATAAAAATATAAAAATATGGAATTCCTTGTTTTACAGATGTTATAAGTTTTTTGATGTCCCATGTTGATTCAACAGTAACACTGTTCTAAGAATGTTAGAGTTTTTCAGTAGCAAAACCTTTTTTTTATCAGCTGTGTTCAGTGCTTTTTGAGTTCAGAAAATAAAGTGGTGTGCTAAAACTACAGGGAGTCAGTTAAGAGCTTTAAGGGACTGAAAGAAGAGGGAATAGTCTTCCCCCTGCCCCACCCCCCCAGTAGGATCTTCTGCTTTTTGCCAGCTCAGAAATAATTGGACTCCTAAGCTTGTAATCCTGTTATTGTTAGAAAAGCTCCTTCAGGTCAAAGGTTTAATGATTTTATTTTTTTTTTAAAGCTTTTAATTATTTACTGTCTTCTAGACCTCAGTTGATATTAAACCATTGTCCTAGTTCTACAGAAGGATTGATTCAAATGTTAGGCCAATAAAAATGCTTAAAATTTATTTAAAAAAAATCATCTTGATTGACTGCAAGATTTTGTGCATATACAGTTATACCATATGTGTCTATTTTAAGATTTAATATTAAAATAGTAAACCAGATTGTGGCAGTCGAGCCTTGAAGTTGTTTTTTACCTGGCCCATACCTTTGCTTTACAGAAAATGGTAAACAAGTTGCACCCCAGCAGCTGAGTGGTGTTTTATGCCAGCAGTAGCCACCAGATAGCTTGTATTCCTGTGGGAGCAAAAGGGAAAACTTGAACTCTGAGCCCTCAACTATGTCCACACATAACCAAATACTTACATTCATGGATCTTGCTGTATCTTCACAGCCTTCAAGAAGACTGAAGGAGTTGTAGTATCTTGAACTAATTCGTGTCTTCATAGTAAAGCTGCTAATACTGAAATGGTCTGAAATTGTATTTCTTGGAATTGACTGACAAATGTTTTCCAATGTCTTTACAAGTTCAAGTTTCTCTCTTGAACATTACTGTGATACAACTCTTTTCTTCCCTAACAATTTTAGCCTCCAGGAGGCAGCAAAAATTTATGGGATTTGGTTGCTGTTATAAAGGGACAGGAAGACAGCTTGCTTCCACAAAACTACTGCAAAGGAATTATGCATATGAAACATCTCATTAGATTTAAAATGGTAAGTGAAGCGTAAATGGTATGTGAAAATGGTTGTTAATCCATATAGTATTTCACTTTTTAAAAATAAGATTTAATGCTTTACAAAAGAGTCACAGACAATTGCACAATATCAGTTCTCTGTGCAATACTGGTCTGTTACAACAACAGCATCTAGCTAAGTCTGTGTGACTTCATGCATACTCAAGTGTTAAAATGCTAGGTTACAGTTACTAACTAGAAAAGCAGTTTTCAAAATAATGAAAAGGAATTGCAAAGCAAGCATCACTACAGCTTGAGCTATGATGCAAGTTTGTCTTCCCTATTATATATATTGTACTTTTATATTCAGTAAAGTCAAATTGTGTGGTTGCATTAAAATGAAGTTTGCAGTTATGTTCAGATGCAGGGACAGGGGAATTCATGTCTGAAAATGGAGGGGAGTCAGCAGAAATATGCTCTGTAGCCATCTGGAAGAAGGAGTAGAAAAACAAGAACCTGTCATCGATATAGATATGCAGCTGAAGAGTGACTCAGATGTGAATGTGCAATTCAAATACTAGGCAATAAATTTATTAGTAGCTGCATATATGAATACGCAACCAGACATACAATTTGTGCAGAATATGGGGATACGTGATTCTGTCAGGGACTTCTTAGGGATGCTAAAGAATCCCATACTCTAATGACTGGGTTGGAAACAGAGGAAAGATTATCTATTGGTATGGATCAGGAAATGCATGACTCCTCAGTTGCCACCCCCCGGGCTAAATAACCTGCCAGATATCTGCTGTTGCAGGCTGTCTCTTTTGCAAAATCACAGACTGTTTTTAAAGAGTGTCCTACACACCTTATGACTCTCAAGTGATGGAAGTTTTATTGGTGATATTAACTATATTAATAGCAGCTGCTCGGCTAATACTATGAAGCTCTGTGTGTGTGTGTCCAAAAATCAGTTTTCTCAGCCAGATAGCCTGAGAAGAAGACATTAATTCTTGACTTAGGCAGTGCAAGCAATCTGTTTATCCCTGCAACATATTTTCATGCATGTATAACTCAGGTGACCTAGAGTAACTACAGTAATTGCTGATCATTCTGTGGATCTGGATTAAATGTTCACATTAATTAAAAGCATTTTGTCTCCTTTTTGCTGACTTGGAATCTTGCTTGAGAGCTTTAAGAGAAAGTAGGGGTAGCGTGATGCTGACTGCTTGTGTATGGCTGCTAATACCATTTTTTCCTTATGAAACTGGATAATGGCATTGCAGCACCTAGACATTTTAGGATGAAGGAAGGACCTAGAGCAAGTGTGTTTTTTCTGTTTCTAGCAAGCAGAGAGGATACATTGGAGACTTCAGCATGAAAATAATAAAAAAAGATAGAGATGCCCAGTAGAAAAGTAACATAATTTGTTTTGAAAAAACAGATCCTTTGCCTTTCTCAGCAGCTGCTATTGGTCTACATTGCAGTTTACTTCGGTGAAGAATGTTCAAAATTCGTTCTCCACCCTCCATATATGGTATTGTAAAGCCATGAATAGCCAAATGCCATCTTATGTGCATTGATGATAAACTGAGATTTCTTGAAATGTCAAGTGCCTTTTGCCTTTTTTTCTTTGATGTTAAATGTGACCCTGTTGCAGCTTGCTTCTCAAACTCTGCCAGATGGAGAAATTTAGTTTTCTCTTTTCAGCTAATGTAAAAATTGCAGTGGTTGGGAATATAAATCTTTTATTGGTCATAAGATTAATGGAGTATGACAGATCAGGACATAGGTTGAGTCTACTGTCTTTATTCTTTCTTTATTAACATTATAATGATGTCTGCATAAGTACAATTTCCAGCTCTGTTTGGTTTATGCTCAGAATTTATTTTTTTTTAAATTTCAAAAATACCAAGATTTTTATGATGGACATCTAAGTGAATTACTATTACATATGAGAAAATGACTGAGAATAAAAAAAAATATATAAAAGAGATTAAAGGAAGATAATCGAAGAAAATGTATGTGTGTAATGAAACAGTAACACAGTTACTTTAACACTATAAATAGTTTGCTGTAATCTCATTGTAAAGTGTCCTAATTAGTTCACTGTAATCTCATTGTAATCTCTTCCAACTAGCCTTTTCTCAAAAGGATTTTTTTCTTAAATGATAGCCTTTATATTCCATTGTAATGTTTGACACTAGTTCATTCTTAAGAAAACTTGTTTTCATCACAGAAAACTGTACTTTTTTGAAAAAAAAACTTTGCTATCTTTTTTTTTTTTTCCTCCTCCGTTCAGTCCAAGGCACAAGAACTGACAACAGTAAAAATGTCCAAGTTTGGAGGTGGTATTGGTGCACCAAGCAAAGAGGAGAGGCTTAAAGAAGCTGCGGAAATACATTTAAGATTAGGACAAATTCAGCGATATTGTGAATTAATGGTGGAACTTGGAGAGGTAAAATATCAAAACTTTATTGAAGAACAATAAAATATGAAGGTTTCCGAAAATCAGCTACCCTAGCAAAGGTGGAGTAGCAACAAAATGGGTCACAAGTCCAGAAAAGAGTAATCTTGCTGCAATTATATTATTTTTAACATATGCAGTCCAATGCCTAGCTCATTCCTTATTTAACCTCTTGACAATTTTATTTTTAATGGAAGAAACATGAAACTAGTTAAAAACAACAGCTGTTTCTCAAAATAAAATTATCAGGTTAAGTGTATTGCTGCTTTCTTCTAGTGGGACAAAGCACTCTCAGTTGCACCTGGTGTATCTATGAAATATTGGAGGAAGTTAATGCAAAGGTAAGGTAATAAAAATATGATGCTGAATTTTAGCTTCTGTCCATAAAAAGGCACAGACAAGTAGGAAGGATGGATACTAATATCAGTTAGACTTGGCTTTTGTTACAGCATTCTAGGGATGTTACTTTTTGTTCAGTAAGCTTTGGGATGAAACTGTGGAGGATTTCAACAACAATTTTGTGTACAGGAATCAAGTTAAAGGGTTGAGCGTAAAATTGCAACTTAAAATGGAAACTCTTTAGTGCAGTATGCACAGTTGGCAAGTCTTCTGATGTCTGCAAAGGCAGATGGGTTTGAGTGAACTTTATATGGCTTTATCTAACACGTATACTATAGAGATAAGTTTAGTCATCAGTTACATATGTAGATATTTCTCGTTCATTTATTCATTTGTTTAATTAGGAGAGCTGATCAGTTAATTCAGGAAGAAAATGATGATGTCATCCCATACTGCATAGCTATTGGAGATGTGAAAAAACTAGTGTCTTTCTTTACTTCAAGAGGCCAGCTTAAAGAGGCTCTTCTTGTTGCACAGGTATTATTACATATAACAGTGCGGGAGATGTATTTAGCCATTTGTTTCTAACTCTGAAGATGACAAGCATATTTAAAAGGCTTGCTCTGTTCACTTTTGCAAAATGGCTAAATAATGATACCATACTCTTTACTTTTGTATTGTATTGACAATTTTTTATGCAGAAATCATAAAAAGGTATCTCATGTTTACAGATTTTAAGCCTGATTCTTCTAAACTGCAATCAAATGCCCATAATGAAAACTGATGTATTCGGTTTTGGTTGAAGTAGAAAATTAACCTGATTTTCAGCAGTCAGTATTGCCCTTAACATCAAAGACATGTAGGATTTCTCTTGCATTTTTTCAGAGGTCTTGGTTATGCTACTTCCTATAGAATCTTTGGGTGAAACTGCTCAGTTGCAGTAATAATCACTATAGGAAGTCAAACTTTCAAATTAATGCAAAAAAAAACAGTACAAGGGATTACGAAAAGCAGGTATGTCCCTTGTGCTTCCTAATGTAAACACAAGTTAAAGAGCACACAAAACAAGTGAAACTGATACTTTGTTTCACTCTTTCTCACCATTCCTTTATTCTTTTTGAGTAATTTCTGCATACTTAATATAGTTTGTTAAATACACTGTCAAGATTTGTCCCTGGTACATTCTGTCATGCCTACCTGTCCTTGAACATTCAGTTGCCTCAGAGATAAGAACTTCAATAATGCATGTGAATTTGTCATTTAGAAATTGTCTGTCTGTATGTTCTTCTTCTAATAGTAGCTGAATAGTGCAGAGAATAGAACTTTGAGGTATGCCTAAATTTAACAAGTTATAAAGTTTGAACCTTAAAGCAGCCTAAAGCTTTAGAAAGATCTTCATTTTTCTTGTAAGAGACACATTGCAGGGTTTGCTTTTGTTACAATTCTTAGAATAGTCTTTGTCTCAAAGGTTTAATCAGATAATATTAAGCAATAAAATACCAGGACTTTCTTTCCCTTTTAACTGAGGCCTGAGTTTTTTAATGTTGTTATCCCAGCTACACCTTAAAGCACATGAAAGAATCTCCTTTTAACCCACACTGATCTCTTCTCATTTAATGTCAGAAATAATTTATTGCCAAACACAAAAAAGGTTCAGCTTGTGCCACTATATGAACCTTTCCAGATTTGCTAGTATACCTACTGAGAAATATCTGTGGAGTTCATTCTTCACTCACAGCCACTTGCTACTTGAGGTGTAACAATCAAGGCTTTAGCCCTCACTGTCTGTTTTAAGCATATTCAAATACTGGAAGAATCCTGTACAAATGCATAGGAAGGAAGAAGTCTTTTGCTTCTGTAGAATTTCTTGTATAGCTGAATAAAACTAAGCTAAGATTTAGCTATGAATAAGTTCATTGGTTTAAACATTTCCTTAGTTATAACTGGGCTTTAGAAGGATTTTTGTAGATCTTAGAATTTTTTGTTGTTGAAAAATCACATTTCATATTCAGTTTGGTGCATTAATTGATCCATTTTTTTAAATTCACTTCTAGGCAGCTTGTGAGGGAAATATACAGATGGCAGCACTCTCCACAACAAGTGGATCTTCAAATTCTGGTGGAAACAATACAGATGATTATAATGAGTAAGTTGTTCTAGTTTATAACTAAAGCCTTATTTTAGTGCAGCATGTAAAGTCTTCAAGGGAGATAAACCTTAGTGGTTTAATTTGGCATAGGCAATGTAGAATTTGACAACAAAATATAGTATCTTCTAGTACTTAGTTGATAGAGTTACTAAGTAACTGATGCCACACTGACTCCACTGTGCCTCCTGGCACCACATGGATTTTTCATATGTATGTATTATAATTATAAATATCCCTTTCATTTGCTTGATGTGTAAGGTGCATTCCTATGCACTTAAATATGTTTAAATATGTAGCATATTGACTTAGAACTTTTGGTAAGTAGAGTAAAATTTAGCATTAACGCGTATCTGTGATACCCTATGTTTTATGTATCTTCTCCTCCTGAAGCTTCGCTGTTTATCATCAGTGAAGTTTCTGACAATGTACACTAAAGGCCACATTTTCATTGTACGTGCCCATAAAAGAAACCATGCATCTCGCCTTGTTTAGAACAATGCTCAAAAACCTGTGTTACGTTATCAAGTTATATGTGTAGTAACAAAAGCAGCTTGGAGGCTGCAATGTTACTTCATTTACAAGTGTAATTTTTGAGCAATTAGAGAGATATTTATGCGGAGTTCACAGGTACAAAATGAATATCCAAATATTTGATTTTTCTTCTGTCAATCTGAAGAGGCATTTCCATACTGATGTAGATTTTGGGAAACTGACCCACCTGATTATGGACCAACATAAGTGGTGGATGAAGCTCAAACTAACTGCATGTTGAAAGCTAGTCGTGTCATTATCTGTAAGTCGAATATAGAAATTTTAGGGTACAGAAGCAAATGTGGTGACTTGTACATAAATTAAGAGTCAAAAAACTCCAACTTTTAAGTGATCTTGCAGAATTCATGTGGTGTTCTTGCAGGCTCCTGCACAAGGTCAGTAAAGAACTGGCAGAATGGTATTTCCAGGATGGCCATGCAGTGCTTGCAGCATGTTGCCATCTGGCTGTTGAAAATATAGAGGTAATTTTTTTTCTTTTTAACTATAGAAAGGCCAATATTGACTTCCTTTTTATATTTTCATGTTAATTGTTTTTTAAAATGTGTGTACTGTGTTCTAAAATGTATTACTTTTATGTAAAGCAAATACCAAGTATATTTATAGCGAGTGTTTGATCGCTACAGTATTAAAGTTAGTAGCAAGACTCCCCTGATTCTCTTAGATTCAAGATTTCTCTCATGCACAGAAAGTAGTATGTTATTATTTAATTGTATTTTCATATATATGGTATCTTGTTATATTAGAAAATAAAGGTGCCTAAGTACCTTACATATATACATATACACATAAGTATTACTGTTTGTGGTGACTCAAAAGATTCGTTCAGAACTGGAACATCATTGTGCTACAAAAGATGCAATCTCTACTTTGAAGAATTTGCAGTCTAAATGATGATGTAAATAGGGAAAAAAACCCTACCCCCAGTACAAAAATAGGGCTGATATGTAGGAAACATTTAATTAGATTTTTCATTTTGTTTGTGATTTTACAGATTGTTTCTTTTCCTCATTCTCTCTGGATTTTGTTGTTGCTGACTCAACATGTTTCTCCTCCTCTATCCCCCAAAATGAGTAAAATTTCATCTTAATGAGCTGTTCAGAGAGAAAGCAATAATCAGTTAATGCCTGTATTTCAAAATAGACATATTTCAAGTTGTTGTATAGTCTCATACTGTTTAATATTCTGCTATGCCTGTCAGCAACTCCAGTTGCCCAGAGAGAGTAAGAACAGGAGAGTCCTTCCTGGTTTGTTTGTTTGTTTTCCTTGGGTCTCCTTTGATGAAAAGAGAGGGGAAATACGTAGTCTGAAAGCTAGTGTCCTTACTTAAAACAATAAGGAATTGCTGTCATGCTTTTTAGGTATGATATTTATGTAATATCTTTGATTGAATAAAGGAAGATTCTGCTAAAGGAAATATATTTGGTTATTTTAAAACTTATTAACACATGGTGCAAAATTATTTACTCATTCAAGAGGACCAAATTATATATAAAATCGCTTTAATTAATGCATATTTTGTCCTTCTGTAAAAAGCAGTCTCATAAATGAATGTCATAGGCTCAACATGGTGAATCCCCCAAAATGCTTATGTCCCTTAATGATATAATTTTTTCATTGAGCAAGCTTGCGATGGCAAACCTGATTCGTGGAAATGAACTGGAGTTGGCAATCAGTGTGGGTACTGTCTTAGGAGAAAGTGCAGCACAAGCAACACATTATGCCCTAGAATTACTAGCAAGAAAATGTATGACAGTAACAACATGGTAAGAATTTCTTAATCTAAAGAAGAATATTTTTTTTCTTTCCCCCCCCGACAAAACAATAAAGATGTTTCATTCTGAAACTTTTATAGACACCAAACCAGCATGGGTAGGTAGAATAAAAATTGCTGCTTGTGTAAGAACTGCTCTGTTAGACCTTTGGAAGTATAGAGCATGCAAATGTTCTGCTTTAATCACAAGATACATTAGGTATGCATTGTAAATGAGAGAAGAGTTATTGTCAACCAGAGTATGAAACCCACTGAAAAAAAACCTAGGTATTTGGGCAATAGGTAGCGTAGTAAGTCCTAGTCTGTACTGAGTAAAAACAACTGCTTCAGACAAAGTAAGGCTAGAATTGAATTACAAAGTCAAAAAGAACAGAAGCTTAAGTAGGATCTGTGAAGTGATTTTTAAGTACTTGCTTGAAAAATTTAAAAACCTAAGAGGCTGAGGAATTATTTTATGTTGGTATTAGGAATACAAGACAGCTGACAAGATTTAAGGATGAAACAGGATTACTATTTAATTCTGCAGGAGTAAGTAATTTCTCTGTTGCATATAGAGGAAACTTTTATCTCTGCTCGATTTTCTTTTTCTCCTAGTAGTGGTTTTACTTTGAAGGATATAGTTTTGGTCTGTTTTTTTGTCTACTAGTGAAAAGCAGAAAATCTCCCTAAGGTGTATTTGGCAGCTGTTACAGGTGTTTCAGAGTTAGCATTTCATAAAAAATGTGTACTTTAACAGATAGTGCAGTTAAGTATCAGTTTTTCTGCTACAGTTGGTATTTGCTTCAGTGTCTAGAGGTAGCCTGAGAGAAATATAGTGGAACTCCTCTCTACAGAGCATTTAGCCTGCCTTAAACAATGAAGCATTGTAGAAAAGGACGAAATAAGAAATGGGTGACTTGCAGCTTTGGTTTTGCAATGATTTAGCATGTCTCCATTGGACCAGTTCTAACAGGGTTATTTTGGCAACTCCCATCTGCAGCTTTTAAAGTCTCTAAAACTCTTCCTCTGATCTCCCTGCCTTCATTGTGAACAGTCATTTTTATGTAGCCTCTGATAGGAAGCACTGGACGTGGAGTTAAGAAAAACTGTATTTTTTTTTTTTTCCAGTTTCATAACAAAAGCTTGTTCTGATCTCAGTGCTGTAGCAAGTACTTATAATCGATTAGCATTTATATGTACACAAAAATTCTGCAAACTTACAGCATGTGTACACTGAAGTCTACAGGAGTATAAGTGATAAAATTTTAAATTGGTGTACTGCATATTGCCCAAGTATACATCTGGATTTGTCAGTGGGTTTCATATATTGAACACATACTACAGCTACACCCTGCAATCCTGCATTCTGATTTGCAGCCATTACAGTATATTTTTCTATTCTGTAGGAGAAGATCAGAGATTCCTGAATTTATTCATATTTTGTAATAAAGAAATACTGGCACAGCATAATAGACCTTGGTCCACCGCGAGTATAAGATCATGTATGGGGAAGCTGGAGTTCAAGGGCCTCTGGTATTTGAAGGGCTCCCTTTTTGTTTTTACTGGTTGTTATGCTTAGGGATATCCATCAATTCGAAACACTTCATTGTAGAGAGACACTTAATTGTAGATATATCAAGCAATACCAAAAGGACCTTGGTGGGTTAATAATGAAATCAGTTATTGGTGAAATATTTTTTTGGGTTTTGGTTGTTTTTTGTTGGGTTTGGTTTGGTTTTTTTTTAGAAGTGCCCTGAAATATAAAATCAAAACAAAAAACTCAAACATAAATATTCATGCCTTTCCCCATCTTTCCAAATCTACAGCCTTGGGAAAATGTCTGAGTGTTTAAGAACACCATTTTCATTTTATTTGTGTTTAGCACCTAAACACTGTTAAAAGCAACCTTCTGCTGTTCAGAAGGCTAGTGGTATTTTACCTGAGATACTGAATTCTGTATATGCAGACTCAGCCACCTGATTTTGTTCTTTATACTGACAGAGTCTTCAGTTTAATTCTTAAAAAAAAACATGCCAGGTAACACAATTTGTAGGCCATTACATGAGGGCTTCTTTGGATTTTTTTAAATAAACATTTGATTTCAGTTTTTTGGCTGAGCAATTTCACTTTTAAAAAATGTTTAAATTGCCTATGAAGATGAGTACGTGTGAGTAACTGAACCTGAAAATAGTTTAAGAACTTGTGAAATATCCTGTATTCTGAAAGAGCATTTCTGTAACTTGGAAGAGTGGCTATTGCATGGTAATAGTATAACAGATTTTCCAAGGACCTTTTGGCATTAGGTTGTTTAGGTTGTCAAAAGGCATTGGAAAGCTGTTTTTTTGTTGTTAAAGTTGGTTAACCTGACCCTTAGATTTCCTGTTGTAGTTTAATTATTTTCTACTAGGTTTTTCCTCTGTAAAGTAAGAATACAAGAAAAAAAGTTTTGTTCATTACTGTTTCAATGTCTTCCTTTTAGCTTTCCATCACTTGGATACAGGTATTTTGCTTGCTTATAGAAAGAGAGATATGAAAAGCATGTGACTTTACTAATGCTAGAAATAAGCTTAAACTTAATGTTCGGATTTTTTATTTGTGATCAATGCTTGAAAGTGGGATAGAAAGCAGTTACAAATATTAGACAGTAGCTTACTTGAACATTTTTAAGCCAAGGACCGCATTCTGAAAATCCAGGGAAACTCGGTAGGAGTTTTTGCCTTACACAGGTGCAAGTCAGTCTTGTGGATCACAGGAGAAATGATGTCTGGATGAATAGAAGAGTCACAGAACAACCAGAATAATCGGTTATTACAAGCTCAATAGAATAATTGTTTCAAAATAATTTCTTTAATATTTACATGTGTTCCCTTCAGCTGCTTGTTGTGTTAAGGAGGTGGTAACAAATGGAAAAAAGTTAGGAATATTTCAGAAATGTCAGTTTGCTAAAATACAGTTTTCCTTTCAAAAGGCTGAAAATAGGTATCACATTCTCCTCTTGTATAATCTCTCTTTTGTAATGTCACAGAGGCACTAGCCATTCTGGAAGACTGAGAGATGCTTTATGCTGATGTCATGGAGCTCTAGAAGCCTGGAAGTTTGAGGATGATTTCATGACATGGAGCCACATTAACATCGTTCCTTCTTTCAAATTGGATAGGTCTTATCCTCCATTCCCATCCCTGCTCACATATTGTTCCATCTCACTTTGAGGTGGTTCTGATGCTTTAGGATAGCACAGCTGTTTAATTCAACCAACTAAAGCAAAAGAAAATTAACACATGACTTCCAAAAAAAGATGAATAGATTAAGCCTCATTTATTGCACCAGAATAGTCTTAGAGACTGAGGTTGCTTCTGCTCTTCTCTGGAAATACTAATTTTTTTCAGTAAACTCTTCTTTATAAAAGGAATGAAAAGATAAAACAGAGTTTCCTCCTATTACCAACCATCAAAAGTAACTACATGTCATCTTTTGTTTGTGCAGGGATTTAGCAGCTGATCTTCTTATGATGATTCCCGATAATAAACTCCAGTTAGTGAAACTATGTGCTTTTTATCCTGGATGCGTAGCAGAAATAAATGAGCTGCATGAAAAGGTACAATGAAAAATAATTTACCTGAATGCTAACAAAGAGGTTATGTATTGATTTGTTTACTAATTTCAAAAAAATTAAGGCCAAATAAATCTGTAGGATGAATTTGTCACTAGCAGTCTTATATGTTAAATATCCTTTTTTGCTCTTTTAGTCTTCATTGACTTTATTTTCAGTATTGCACAAGAAGAACTTTAGTTCTTTTAATTCTACTCTGTGTGTAGTCTTTCCATGGCATGGGTTACTTCCTGAAGTAGTTAATGATCTTCAGAATTACGTGTCAGTATGATTTATAACCTCCTCATCACTGAAGTGCCACCAATCATGTCTTGGTAGATCAGCTTTCTGTACTATCCTGAATTGTTTTACATCCTATGTCTGTAATCTCCTTAAATCCCCCCTTTCCTCTTCAGCAGCAGAAGGGTCTGCTCCACTAAATCCCTTAAGGTTCAACTCAGACTGCACATTTATTAAGCAGTACTAAAAAGTTCATTAAAAACATTAGCAATGGAAACTTACACTGCTTAAATTAAAGTTACAGAACCTTCTCCTCCTGTGTTGTTCTCTGGTCTAGATTCCTTTCTTAATGTGCATTATATGCAGGTATGTCCTTCAAACAATGACTCTTCTTTCAGAGAGAGGTTGATCTTACTGTTATGTGCAAACTTCAGTATTTCTCTGCATCTTAGAGAATTGTTTGAACATTACAATAGTTCTTTGGCAAAATCTTTGTTTTCCAGTGTAATTTTCCTGATGTAGAAGAATGTATGCGGTTGGCAGAGACAGTTCAGGCAGATGGGGATATATTCGAAACTATAAAGTACTATCTGTTAAGCACAGAACCTGAAAAGGCTCTCCCTATTGGCATTCAGTATGTGAAAGGTAGGTACTTGGTTGAAGAAACCTTTTAAAGCATAAGTAATTTGTATAGCTTGCCTCTTAAGACATTTTTATTTCGATTTTCAACAGAACAACTTTGTGGCTCAGATTGGACTTTAGATTCAGTCTGTCCGTATCTTGATCTTCTAAGTTACATACGCACTGAACGATTAGTGTTGCATAAATGTAGTGAGTAAGTATATTTTCCTTACTTTTATAAGTGGAATTTTCATTAAAGGATATTATTTGAGTTAAAAATAGAAAAATACAAGGTGCACACTCTTAGTATCATTTTTGTTGTAGAAGAGGGGTACAAAAAAATTGCAGCAAGCAGGCTGGTTCCCAATCTGGAGAACAGAATGTGAAATTTTCCTAAATTTTTAAGGTTTATCAAGAAGAAAAAAGATATTTTACTGCTTCTTTCTCTGTAGGGCATTTACACTAGGTGAATCAATGTTGGTATTACTTGAATCTCACTTTGATTAGCTCTGGTTTCAGTTTCCTGAAGAAAAAGAGCAGTGGTACCACACATAATACGGGTTTTTATGTCAAAGTGTTAAAGAAATTTGAGCTGTCACTCTCAGAATTAACTCTAAAATAGGTGGATAGCTGTGATTCATGTTTATGACAGATGGTTGAAGCTAGGCCTGAGTGCCTGCACAGGTGTACGTGTGAAAAACTAAAAGGAGCAAAAAGCTTAACTCTTATCTGTGGCCTGTGGGGAAACTTGGCAAAACTGAAGTCTACGCTAATATATGGGGCAATTTTATTTACATTTAGAGTTATATCACATTAAAAGGCCTGATTAATGTTGGTTTTGCAACTTTACATGATTGTGCTTAATAACTATATGTTGTACACACTATTTAAAATTTAATAATTGAGATCAATATAAAGCAGATGGAGTCTGTTTTAACAATTACATCACACAGAAAGTAAGCATAATCAGCAAACATGTATTCTCCACAAAAGATGGATGGATAAATTAGGTTTTAAAATTGTAATTTGCATGAGAGTTTGTTTAATGTGTTTGCAAATGCTTGTTATTGTTCATGATTAATACTTGTCCATTTATAGATTTCGGAATGAGTTGCTGATTTTGTGCGGCTACGTTGGTGCTTTACTTGCTATCAGAAGACAGTACAATAGCATTGTACCTGCACTTTATGAATATACAAGGTAATATTATGTTTTCAGTAACACTGAGAAATCTTAATCCCTATTATGACATATGTCATACATTGTCTACACTTCCCCCTTCACTCCACCTCCCTGCTGCCCCCCCGCCCTCTGCCAAAAAAAAAAAAAAAAAAAAAATCTGAGTTCCCAGTTCTGTTATAAAGTTATATGGGTATACCCATGCCTGCATATTGAACCTTCTTTACTTTCTTTATGCATTATACATGTAGAAGTTTCTAAGGTAATGCAGTAAGTTGTGAATCCAGGGTTTCAGTCAAACTCTTAGTCCTGTAAGAAAAACAATTTTTAGAAGTAGATGAGTATTCAGCATTACCTCCATGCATGATTATATATTGACAGTAACAGTTCTAATTTTGTATCGCTGTGTAGACCATTTGCCAAGACTTGCTCAGTAGCAACAAGGACAAGCTTTGAATTTAGTAAGTTCATGGCTCGGCAGTAGCTTGATTCCCACCAAGAAACTTGGCTTGACCTTCTGTTACTCAGTGAGCTGACATTCCCAGGCATTAATAGACTTCACCTGGCCCACTTGATCCCACCTGGCCTGGTCCTGCCCACTTGTTCCAGCTCAACCCCAACCAGTCACCTGACTTGACCTGACCTGACTAGACTTGTCTGACTTGAACCAACTCAGCCTGACCCAATTGACTTGACGTGACCTGAGTTGGCCCACTTGACTTGACCAGACTTGACTTGACCCAGCCCAGTCCAGCTTGGCCCAACCTACTTGACCCTACTCGACCTGACCCACTTGATTTCACTTGGTACATGTCACTTGACGTGACCCAACTTGTCCCACTTGGACTTGAACCACCCAACTTGGACTTGAAAGGAGAAAGATTAAGAGCAATAATCTTTGTTTTACCTAATAAATAAAATAGGCTTACATACAATATTTTAGTATTGTTTCCTCAGAGTGTAACCATGATTGTTTAGTCTCCCTGTCTGGTTTGGTAAGAATAATACTATCTAGTTGACTAATTTCCATTTCTCCCTCACAATTTGGGACTGTCAAATCCTTTGGTTTTGTCACCTGACTTGCTGAGTAGCAAGGTCAGCTCCAGGATGTCATTGATTCCATAGTGCCAGCTGTGCTGGCATTGTTCTAGCTGTTATTGCTCCACTAGCCGCTATAACTGACCGCTGTAGCTTTGCTAACAATTTCAGCTCGTTTATCTCTTCATCGAGAATAAATGTTGCATATATGTTGTCCAGTCCTTTCACACCTTCCTAGAATTGTGAGCCTTCCTGCTCCTCGTGATATTTTATCAGAATTGCCTACCAAAGATAATTAACCAATATAAATTTAACATGTCTTAGAACTGTGTGTTTGCCCCTTTTCTTTGACTCATTTCCATCAGATGTCTTGACAGCACTCCTTTCCTCTTAGCCATCCTCATCTCTGAAACTTGGTGAGAGGATAGGGAAAAGGACTGTTTGTTTGATTTTGATTTTTTTTTTATATTTTTTTTTTAATTTTATTTTCTGAGCCACCAGACTTATGTATGGAAAACAACAAGATGAATTATAAGCTTTTACAGAAGGGCTATTCTGATTATGGAAATTAATAGACTAGGAACAAGCCGTCTTTGAGACTCAGTTTGTGATACTTTGGCTGTCAAGCTTTAAGATTTCCTGGGATTTAAAGAACTAAAGAACAATACTGGTCTAAAATTTTTCTCAGATTGCCCAATATTTTCAGGATTCATAGATTTTTAGATTTGAGCCCATCTTAAACTGGACACTTGCATGCTTAAGCTGGATGTTTCTAAGGCATCCCAACACAAGTGGAAGTTTGCTTAATTAGGTCAGGTAGTCACTGTCCCTTGTATTATATTTTGATAAATAAAAAATGCGTCCATTGCAAGTGTTGTGAAATTGTTTTGCACAAGTAATCGGGTGAAACAAGGCTGTCCCAGATCATGTATTGAACCATGTTACTCTAACTGTATTTTTATCATATCTACTACATATAGGCAAAACGGGTCCTTAATTTTAGGAAAGTTGTCATTATTAAGAAATAAGAACACATATAGCCTTAAAATATAGAACGGTCTCAAAGAAAAATAAATAGAGCTAATTAAAGACAAGCTTAAATAAGAAGGTGTAAATAGAGATAATTAAAATCAAACTTAAATGAAGACATAGAATTTTATATCTAGTAATCTAATATTTCTAAGGTTTAATATAGTGATTATTATCAATTTATTTCCATAAAGTTATTTCCATATCCAATCAAAAGTAGTTTTATATTACTACTGTCTATCTTGTTTTTCTTTTAAGAAAATATTGTTAGAATTAGTTTAGACTTTAATTATTTGCATTCCTTTTCAGTCAGCTTTTAAAAAGACGTGAAGTATCTGTACCTTTGAAAATTGAACAGCTTTCTGAGGAACTAGATGCATGGAGAGCTTGTACTCAATTAAACAAGTAGGTGGAAAAATATAAAATTACCATGAATGACACTATTAGTATTTAACTGTTTAGCTGAAAATACAGTATTTATTTCCTTTGTAAAATCTGAATATGAATGTAAAAGACGAGTACTTTGTGGCTTTTAATTTCTAACACAAATTAAGATGTATAGTTGAAAAGTGTGTTTTGTTCGTAGGCCTACCGATGAATTGCCATGCAGCTCGCCATCTGAAATGCAGAGAACGGTGTATTCAACACTCGTATCACGAATACAAGAGGAGCCTCTGAAAGGAATGGTTGGGCCAGACTATGTCACTGGATCAAATCTTCCTAGTCATTCAGATGTTCATATTTCTTGTTTGACAGGGCTAAGGATACAGGTAGGTTTCAGAAAGCTGAGGTGTTCATTCTCGGTGATAGCATTGCCTGGTTGTGAGGTTGCCATAAATCTAAGGTCCCTCCCATCATCTGAGAGGAAAAACATTTTTCCTGTTGTCACAGTAGCAGAAGTTAAAGAGGACAAGTGCTGACATCTGCTATATAAAAAAGGCTGTATAAAGAAGAATTGTCCAATCAAATAATTGCCCAGTTTCCCAATTCCAAGCTTTTTAATTTTCATGGGAAAGACAGGTTTCCTTTGCCAAATGTTCTGCCTAAAGTACACGTAACTTATTGCCTCCTACCTCACCACAGCTTGAATAAAACCCAGGAAATTCTTTATACTGTTACTAGTATTTATCATTATGGAAATGCATAGTATAAAACTTGTAATTCATTATTAATTAAAGCAAGATATTAGGATACTAAATATTCAATTATAGTTATTCATCACATTGAGCTTTATGATCAAAACATACTAGTCCTTATAACACCTCTTTGGTATATTTTGTTATTTCCATAAAGGGAAAATTGACAGAGCCTGAAAATAGTACTCTCAGGCTCCTGTCTCCAGATGGTGCCTCAGTGTGAATTTACTCTCTTACATGAGGTTGTCCGTTTCCTCTGTCCAGTGCAAGATGCCAGCCCAAAGAATAACAGCGTTGTTCAGGGATTAAGAGGGATAGTTTTGCATCAGAAATTGGAGATTGCAAAATGCTAGTGGGATTTTTGAGGTAAACAAAACTTACAACTGCACACCATCAAGTCTAAAAAAGCTTGCTGCCAACCCTTCCACATTAGACCAGTGGTCTCTGGCTATGGCAATACTCTCAACATTTGCCAGCAGCCACGTAAAGCTGCCATTGTTATAATCCATTCAACAAGAATAGCAAATACGGTGTCACCAGCTTGTCACCTACAATATCCTTGTTTCTGGATTAGTGAATATTAGGAGTCATTGCTTTAGGCATGCAGATTGGCTCACAAATCACTTAGTTAATAGTAAGGTATAGTAGCCTAATTGTGTGGGTGTACAAGTCTTAAGTAGCAAGTTCAGAGTGCATAACTCTTGAAGAAGGCACTTAAAATGAACTGCAGTTTTGAGATCTTATTTTGTCAAATGAAGAAATTAGCAAATAGGACATCTTGCATCAGACAGATTAGTATTTTTGTCCTTTTCATAGTGAACATTTGAAATCATTCTGTAGGCTGCATGTAGGCTCCATATTTTCAAACAATTCATTATATTGCGTTTTTTGTAGATGGGGAAACACACAGATCAGCACGGATAATGACAGACACAATGAAATATATACAGTATTCTGAAGGAAAAAAACTTGTTACTTCAGTTTCTAATTCAGGCTAAATTTCACTCTGGAATAATTGTCACGCATATATAAAATGCCACAATTATTAAAAATCAAACTAAAAATTTAAGGATTATGAAATGTTGGGTCTCCAGGTTTTAGAACATAACACGTTCACTCAATTTATAATGCGTAACTATTACCAAAGCTTTAAGGTGGTGGGGTACAATTTTTGCGCGAACATAGATGATCATTGTAAATCAGGTTTTCATGTTCTTCACAGATAACACAAAATGTGCTTTCTGTTCTGGTAGCCTTTACACAATACATGTGTACTTTCTTTTTCTTTCCCTCCCCAAACATTTTTGCTGTACAGGGTCCAGTGTTCTTCCTTGAAGATGGAAAATCTGCTATTTCACTGAATGATGCTTTGATGTGGGCCAAAGTGAATCCTTTTTCGCCACTAGGAACAGGCATAAGACTTAACCCATTTTGATGAGGTGTTTTCCTCTGTACTTTGTAGTGCTTAACATAACACTATGGGGTTTAATACTGATTTAACCTTGATTGTCAAAGGACAGAGATGGCAGTTGACTCCTCCTGAAGGACAATTACTAGACTTTGAAAATTAAAATGAGACCAAGGAAAGGATTTCTATACAAATGTTTGTGGATAATCCAAAGAAAAAGTCCTTTGAGAATCCAAAGAAAAAAAAGTTCTAACTTCATAGACAGCTATGTCTTTTTTTAAATAAGAATAGTGTTGTCAGACAATACAAACATAGTTCAGTCAACTCGGTGTAAACAGATGCCTTGTAAAGGAAGTAAGCAACTATCTGCACATTATCAAAATATTGGTAACTAACTGTGAAATCCATAAACACACTTTCAAATACATAATAATAGAATGACTTTATTGATAGCCACTGCAACCTGCTTTTAGAATGACTGGAATCCTGTGGCTGTTTCACACATTGTGTCCCCTTTTTTAATTTTAACTGATTTTTACACACAGGCTTCTGTAGCAAAAATAAAGTTTATAAAGTGCTTAGATTATTTTTTTCATCCATTAGTTACTGTGCTTTAATAACAGTACTAGGATGTTTACTAATGATTTGTTTAGATAAGTTTGAATATCTAGATTATAAGATTCTATTTTCTAGTAAGTTCATCTTTGGCAACTGTCCCCCTTATACTTTCACTGGAAGCTAAAATGTATTTATAAAACTTTGTTTAAAAAAAAAAAAAAAACACCAAAACACACCACAACCAAAGGGTTTGTAAGGAACAAACAGCAAATGTATTGAAATTCTTTAAATATGTTATGTACATTTAAAATACTTGTTTTCTTTTTACATTTTGTATTAGTTATAAATATACATATAGTATGACTGACCAGAAGTAAATACTTGTGCATATATTTTTATTTACTAAAGCTGTGCTTAAATGGAAAGAAAATTTTGGCAACAGAATACTAAGAATAGTTAAATTTTAAAGCTGTGTATAGTACGGAATTTAATCATAAGGGAAATTTTATTAGTAATTATTCTTATTGATAATTCTTATAATCAGAATTACTCATCTGTAGAAAAGATGTCTTGGTTATAATATTCTTTATTAGCTTAATTGATGGCACACAAGTAGAAATCTACTTTATCCGTTGTTACATTTTTTTGCTGCTGCTTTAAAATAAAATTTAAAATCCTGATAGTTACATAAAATGTAAAGAAGTTGCAATTAAAAATTGGCAGAACTATTTCTAAAGAAACTATTGTAAACCTGGAAATAACACAAGGTCCCTTTTAGCAGACACTATTGAACAAAATCCTGAATATATAGGTAAGCAATGCCCTCATTTAAGTAAAAATAACAATGTCACCATGCTGGAAAGGTAGAATGGTGATTAGAAATAAAAAATTTCCGTCTACCCCCCACCCCCCCTTAAAAAAGTTAAAATTTCATTCTGTCAGTGTTCTAGACTATTATTACCAGGTTTCTGGTGTAAGGATATATTGGGTGGGGAAAAAAAAGGTTAGCTGTTTTGTAACCTATACAAAACCATTTCTCTACATACTTGGATGCTGGAACAGAATGTTTTACTTTTTGCAGGTATTGTTTGGAAAATGTTTTAATGTTTCCTTTGTTTAACCCTGTGAAGCTTGGGGAATGAGAGTTGGATTTCAGAAATAAAAATTCATAGTTTTTAAAAGAATTTTCCAGCAGTCAGTACCTGATGTGTTGCTTCTGTCAAATGAAAGACTAGCTATCTTTTAGCACATAAATTGAACAACCTTGTATGTAAAAGTTGTTAATACAGAGTTGGAGAGCAAAGGTAAGAACTGAAGATGCAGCCCCATGCCTGATGATTGGGATCTGAAGGATTGGACTCAACTGCCACTCTACTATATTGAAAATCTTTTGCTGTGTCCTAAGGATTTTTACCAATACTTCACAGTTTGAATATCTTACCACATGTAGTATAACTGCATCCATTTGTTGTGTATAAATTGTGCCTTAACATGGAATCTTAGACAAATCTACTCACTTTTTAAATTAGAGAGTGATGGTTAAGAACTCTTTCATTGCTGAAAAATAAAAATTTTATATCAGAATCCATCAGATAACAGTCATTGTGAATAAAATGAAGTTGCATTTTCTTTAAGGTGGTTGTACCCCATGTACAGTGACTCACATGTGAGTGAGGGGAACATCCAGAAAAGGTTGTAATTGTGTCTGCTGCTACAACTGTGGTTGCAACTGTCAAACTATAGATTCATCATTTTCAAAACCAATTTTGGATTGTTTGCTAATGTGTGACTTCATTGTCTGGCACAGCTAGTCAAATACAGATATTTCCCCTTGATATTAAAGAATCCTTTGTCTTCAAATGATTGTTTGACTCTTCTGTAAAAGTCATATTTCTGTTTATCAAGGTTTACAGCTAGTGCTTTCCAATTACTATTAAATCTCAGTTAAGTTTAATGCCACTTTATCCCTACAAAATCTAATTGATTGTTCTGTTGAAAGAGTCTGACCAACATTACTGACATGTTTATAAGCTTCACAGACTGCAGCCACATGTGAGACTTTCCTAGGTGCATTCCAAAACAATACAAAAAAAAAAATTGATCATGCTATAAACTCTTTCCATTGCAAAGACTGCCTTTAAACTGAGATATGACATTTTAAATCCATGTTGTTGAATTTCTTCATTGGGTAAAATCATTTAAAACCAGAAGTACCACAATTTAAGATGATGCTAATGCAAGAAACTCCCTTCATTCTTTACACAGAAAACAAAACTAAACTACTGAGTCTAGATACCTTTTTCAGAATAGGCATTTTTTTAAAAAGCCTTGAAGCTTACATGTTTATGTAGGAAGGAAATTAAATCCAAGATCATCTTTGCTCTAGATAAAAATTACTAAAAACGCAGGGTGAGGAATAGATTTAGAAAAGCAGTTATGAAGACCAGTATGCATTTGCACAATAGGTCAAGATGTGAAGACATGATGTACACTTTCAGATTTAGTAAAAATTTCACATGCAACAATTATACCTTCTGGCTTCTAATATTGTAGCAGTAACATCTGTGTCAGAAAAATTCACTGATAAAACAGTAAACCAGCTCTAGGAAGAAAAGAAGCTGAAAAGGAAACAAGGCAACGTTATAAAAACAATTACAGAATTGCAGAAATTAAGAAATAATAACAAAAACTGTCTTTTAGAATATGATGATTCCAAAGAGGTTTTCAATTTATTTGCTTGAAAGAGGATTGTTCCCTAACAGACAGTAAACTTAAATTTCTTCTTGATTATGAAGTCAGCATTACTGTAATCAGAATGGGGTTTGTGTTTTAAAGTTCCGCTCCTTGGGTATTCCTGTCAGTGGTCTCCTGGGAGGTACTAAGCGTCCGTTGTAACAGGAGCTGTCAGGTTATTTCACCTGTTTTTCTTTAAAATGAACACTTGTTTGCCAGTTGTTTCTGAGGAATCTAAATGCATGTGGGGGGCAAAAAACTGGAAAACTATATTAAAAGAAACAGTGACTTTGAAGATTCAAAGTATTAAAACTCCATAATTTAAAAGTATAAATGCTGTTTTAAACACCTTTTAGTTTATATTTAGTGTACAATTTTATAGTTAAACAGTGAAATAAGGCCTCTTCTTTCCTTACGAAAGCAGCGTTTTAGCTCTATATATACATAAAGCCAAAGCACCACCATCTTCTGAGGGTATGATTACTTTAACCAGTGTAGACTATTGATGGGAAAAGGCAAAAATATATACAAAGAACCTGAAAATTGATCTGACTGCTCCGTTTGGGACTATTGCTACCAGCATGCAAACCAGCCAAACATGTTGGCATCTATGTGGAAGGGCCATCACATGGTTCAAAAACATGTTTCAGCAGCACGCCTACGAACAGTACTCTGACTTCCTACAGAGCTAACTATTCGTGTCCCTCTTTTTCTGCACCGTATCCTATAGTTCCTTACACAGTCAAGATGTCTGTCGGTGCTGTGGGAATTACCGTTTAAGTAAGGGCTGGAGCACCTGCCCAATCACACATCCATCAACAAACTGAAGGGCTCCATTACTTAACTGGAGGGAGGAAAACTCATCTCAGTATGGTGAAAGTATCCAGAATAAATCAAAGCTCTGAGGAAGGTAATAGAAGTACATTTGAATATTAGAATAATTTGTACAGATGCCATGACAGGGATAAGCTCAAAGCAATTTTATGTTAAGAATAAAAAATACTGGCAACCCCCTCCAAACTTCCTGTTTTCTAAGAAATTGTATTGGATGTGTTCAAATTTTAAACACAAAATCCCTTTGTTGCCTTTATCACAAAAGTGAACCAAAACCACACAACATTACAATCTGAACAGATTAAAATGAAGACTTATGTGATGTAAGAAACAAACTTACATGATGTGGCAAACAGGTTTTTTCCTTTGGAGTAAGCTACCTTCTCAAAGGATGTGGAGCAACAAAGATGGTGAACTGCGTGTTGATTTAATGCTAAACTGCCCTTTAAAGCAAAAATCACAAGTTGTTCAATTCAGCAGTAAGGTAAGCAGCTGTTCAGTTAGATGTTCAGTTTTCTCGCTTATTTGCACTTCCCCTCAACTTCACTGACACGCAGCTGATCTTGGCAGCTGTATAAAATGAATACTACACCAAAAAAAAAAGGGGGGGGAAACATTAAACACCTTGTATGGTAAATTGCTTTGAGAAACCTGGTCTGCTGAGGGCTGATGGGGTCCACCTGTCAGAAAAGGGGAGGAGCATCTTCGGCCATAGGCTTGCCAAGCTGGTGAAGAGGGC